TTCTCTACCTTCCAATTCAACTTCTACCGGTACATGATCCGACTCTGTTCTAATTCCTTCCTCCACCTTCTTTACCTCTTCAATTGCCTTTTCATTCGATACCACATAATTTATCACTGATGTTCCCATCTCTCCGATATATGTCCATCCTCCTTCCTTTTCAAAACTTCCATTCAGAATCATCCAACCTCTTTCCCTTATTTTATTTAACATTACTCTTCCTTCTCTATTTACCACTTTGTCCTTTGATCTTCTTGTCTCTTCTTTCTTTCTTTCTGTTTCTATTCCTATTCCTACCGGCCCTCCTTCCGTCTCTGTTCTTGCATTAAAATCTCCTCCTGACAACAGATATCTTTCCTTTTTCTCTTCTATTTCTTTCATTATATTGTCCAATGTTTCCTCATTATCTTGACTATATAAAGTTACAATTCTCCATCTATTTTTATTATATATAAAACTAATCTCTATTGCTCCTTTGTTTATTTCCTTTACCTTGATTCCTTCCAAATCCTTCCTTATTGCTGTTATAATTCCACCTTTAGCTCTTCCCTTTATATTTTCCTTTATTGGCGGTACACAGTTCCATGCATAATTATTCGACACTTTCTTGCAGATCTTCTTCCATTTTTCTTCCTCCATCCACGTTTCTGTTAATCCTATAATGTCAAAATCTTCTAAATATTCCCATGTTTCTTCACATTTATTTGATAATCCTGCGATATTCCAGAAACAAATTTTTAAACCCCTCTCTCCATCCTCCTCCTCTTCGTCCTGTTTCTCTCTTTCTCATTCCCTTCTCACTCTCCTTTTCTCTTTGAGTTTTTCTTTTTTCTCATTTTATCTGTACCATTTTTCTCTTCAAATTGATCTTCTTGTATCCAATTTTTGCTTTGCTGTCTCCTTTCTCTCTTTCTTCTCGTGCCATTTCCTTCAATTTTTGTTAAATCTCCCTCTCTCTTCTTGTTAAGTCATCCTCTATTATAATACCCTTCTTCAACTCTTTCTTCTTGTACATAACCTCTCTTTTTTGCTCCCAGTTTTCTATCTCCGCTATCACTAAACTTTTCTCCTCGTTCTGCCTTATTTTTCTTGTCTTACTTACCATTGTCTTTACTTTTAAGTTGACCTCTAAAAATTCTATCACTTCCTGCTTTAAATTCACTATTTCCCATTTTACACCTTTTATAACAATATTATTTCTTCTATCCTCTCTCTCCTTTTTTTTATTAATACATTCCATCGCTGCTATTCTCCTCTCCATTGATTTCTTCTTTTTTCTGCACTCTTCACTTTCTTTCTTTCTTTCTCCCTCCCTTTCTCTTCTCTCCTCCAATATTTGTTCTTTCATTCTTTCCATCTCTTCTCTTATTTCTTTTCTCATTTCTTCTATCTCCCTTATTATTTTCTCTAAACTTTTTGTCCATATATCTTCTCCCGTGACATATTTTTCCTTCGTCCTTTCATCTCCCTTGTTCTTGTTCCTGCCCGCTGTCGTCGCTGTCTGCTTTTGTAGCGCTCGTGCACGTGTATATATATATATATTTAGCGGGAAAGAGATTCCTACTCATGCGTCTTGGATGCAGGTAGATATATAATAACTATTTGGAAACCACTGCTGAGGCGTCCCGGATCGATAAATATGTGATGAGTATATTTTTTATATGTATAAAAATACTTTATTTTTCTTTGGTAACAGACAGTATCACAGTATTAAAGGCAGACAAAAGAGAGTGTGTTCGGTGAGGAAGAACTTAGCTTACTTAATATCTAGATAGGAATCATCTTTGGCTAGTGCGCATGTGAGGAAGAACTTAGATTACTTAATATCTAGATAGGAACCATCTTTGGCTAGTGCGCATGTGCGCGGTATAAAGTTACTAGAGAGATGCCATATTACTCCCTCCTTAGCAACTTTGCCTAAGTTGCGAATGTGACCTTTTTGGCTAGAGGATAGGCCTTCGTAGGTTGCTGTGCTGTGGCGGGTATGTCCCCGGTGCATGTTGCGTCTCCCGGGGTATTATCTCTTGGTAGGCCGGCTTCAGTCTTTTCGTGGAAATGGTTACCTCCTCTCCTTTGATTTTGAGCTTAAAAACTCGATCGGATATCCTTTCGATAATCTCGTACGGGCCTTTGTAGGGGCAGTCGAGAGGCTTTTTGACGGCGTCCACTCGAACGAATACATGGGAACAGCTAAAGAGGTCCTTATAACTGAATACCCTGGGCCTGATGTGGTGAGCTGGCGGTGTTGGTCGTATTTTACGCATGAATTTGTGTAACTTTTCGATGAATATCTGAGGGTCTTCTGGTGGGTCTTCGTCTATAAAGAATTCTCCGGGTAGACGGATTGGAGTTCCATAAACCAATTCCGCTGCACTGGTCTTCAAGTCCTCTTTGACGCTGGCTCGTAGTCCCAACAGGACCGTGGGGAAGATGTCTACCCACTCGGTGGATGCATGGCAGCGGATGGCGGATTTAAGAGAGCGGTGAAACCGTTCTACCATCCCATTCGAGGACGGATGGTAGGCTGTAGTCTTGGTCCTGTGTGCGCCTATAAGCTGAATGAGGGCCTGAAATAATCTAGATTCAAACTGAGAACCGCGGTCCGTAGTTACGGTTGCTGGAGCACCGAAACGAGAGATCCACGTTGTATGGAATGCGTCCGCGATTGTATCTGCGCTGATGTCCTTGATCGGAATGGCTTCCGGCCATCTGGTAAATCTATCTATTGCAGTTAGGCAGTACTGGTACCCGCGGGACGGCGGCAGAGGACCGACGATGTCGAGATAAACCTGGTGGAATCTGCTGTCCGGGACTCGAATGTGTTCTAGCAGGTTTTTGTGATGTCTTTGGATCTTTGCACGTTGGCATGCTAAACAGGTCTTGACCCACTCTGCGGCGTCCTTATTTAGACCTGGCCAAACAAATCGGCGTGCGATTAGATCTCGGGTAGCTCGGACTCCTGGATGCGATAGGCGGTGGATTGTGTCGAATATTCTGCGGCGTAGGATGCGAGGTATGTATGGGCAAATTTCTTCGGTGAAAACGTCACAGAATATTGTGTGTTCTGAGTCGTCGAGGCGTAATTTACGGAGTTGCAAATTCGTCGTTAATGATTTTACTAGTTCTTGCAGCTCTTCATCCTTTAGTTGCTCGAGTGCGATGTCCTCAATGGAGATAATTGTAGGCATGTGTATCTCTTGGATTCGAGATAGTGCGTCTGCGACTGTGTTTTGCGTTCCAGGAAGGTGAACCAGGTGAGTAGTGAATTGTGAGATATAATCCAGTTGGCGCAGCTGTCTAGGAGATGCTCGGTCTGACTTCTGGTCGAAGGCATATATTAACGGCTTGTGGTCCGTTGCTACTGTACATTCACGACCTTCTACGAAATGCCGGAAATATTTTAGGGCTTTATAGACCGCTAGAAGCTCACGGTCGTAGGTGCTATACTTTCTTTGTGTCTCGGTTAGTTTTTGTGAGAAAAAACTTAAGAGTACGTACACGTCCTCTTGGAGTTGTTGCAGTGCGGATCCGAAGGCTGTGTCTGAGGCATCTGTTTGCAACACCAGAGGTGCTCTTTCTTTTGTGCCAGGAGAGTAGCTTCTTCTAGTTGTCTTTTGCTTTGTTCGAATGCTTTCCGCGTCTCCGGTGTCCAAACTATTGTTCGGTTGTCTCGCTTGGTTGCTCCGGTTGTGAGTTTGTGTAGGGGTGCTTGAATTAATGCTGCTCCTTTAAGTAGGCGTCGGTAAAAATTGATAAAACCAAGGAATCTGCGTAGTTCCTTAACGGTATTCGGTATGGGATAGTCCCTAATTGCAGTTATGCGCTTTTGGAGGGGGGCGATACCCTCCTGACTAATGGTATATCCCAGGTAACGGACCTTACCGGCTCCGAAGGTACACTTTTTCACATTGATGGATAGGCCGTGTTGCTGTAGCCATGACAGGCTTGCACGCACGTGTGTTGCGTGTTGCTCTGGGATTGTAGATGCGATCAAAATGTCGTCAATATAGCAGAACGCATATTCCACCCCTCGGAGGACCGTATCCATCAGGCGCTAAAACGTCTGCGCAACGTTGCAGAGACCGAAGGTCATCTTGTTGAACTGGAACAAACCAAAAGGAGTGATTACGGCGGTCTTGGGTCTGTCCTCTGGGGCCACTGGAATTTGGTGTAATGGTTTGTTGAGGTCAAGCGTAGTAAAGATCTTGCATCCATGTAAACGGTGCGTAAAATCATGTAAATGAGTGACAGTATATTTGTCAGGTATCGTGACTTTGTTTAATCGACGATAACCGCGACATGGTCTCCATGTTCCATTGGATTTCTTCACCATATGCAGCGGAGAGGCCCATGGGCTAGAGGATGCTCGCAAATACCCTGCTGGATGAGGTTTTGGAATTCGATTCGGGCTGCCTTATAACGGGTTGGTGAAAGGCGCCTAGCTCGCTCTGCTACAGGGTGTCCATTGGTGATTATATAATGTTGCACGCCGTGCGTGGGTTCCTGGCTTTTGATTGGACGTGTCACTTCGTCGAATTCCAGTAGAATTTTTCTGTAACAGTTATCGTAGCTGATTTTTGTTAAACTTGGAGTGTTGCATGTTGTGATTGCACCTAGCACGTGCAATTTTGTTTCTGTATCGATTAGTCGGCGGTTGTGGAGATCGACAAGCAGTTTAAAATGCTTTATAAAGTCGGCACTCAATATCGGTTGTTGGACGTCAGCTACAATGAATCGCCAAACGAAATCTCTGCGTAGTGCAAGGTTGAGTTTCATTTTGAGCTCTCCGTAAGTGGGAATAATAGTGCCGTTGGCTGCGTAAATTGTAAATCTAGCACGGGTAGGTTGTTTGCCTTTCATGAGTTTTGGTAGAACTGAAACGTCTGCACCGGTGTCCACTAGGAACTTCATCCTTGAGTATTGATCTATGACTGTGAGGCAGTTTGACGTCTCATTGATCTCCGTAGTCGCCCCTATGTACGGAGATTTTATTAGTTTTCCTACGGCTTAGCTCCTTGAGTCCACGTACAAGGGTGCTGGCACTTCCTTGCGTTGGCACCAAATCTATTATGATAGTAACAGAACTCAGGCTTATTTGTATGCGTAGGTGCAGGTATCAATGTTCTAGGTTGGTTTTCTTTTCCTCTGCTACGGGAGCGACGGAATCGTTCGTTGCGATCTAGTTGTTTCTGCATTTTTGAGACCTGTAATGTGAGTGCGTTAAGTGACTCTTCTAATGTAGACAGCATACCTGTGGTAGCCTGTGTGTTTGAACTCTTTGCAGGCACGATTTGGGTTGCTGCCACCATTGGTCTCATTGCGTCTAGTGCCTTATCAGCCATCTCTGCTAACCGCTGGAGATCTGATGTGTCGCAGATTGCAAGTATTACTCGAGCAACTTCTGGTAACTGCTCAAAGAGCAGAGAGCGGATGATGGCGTCTTCACACTGGTCTCCTGCAAGGGCTCGTAAACAATGTAGATAAGCCGTCGGTTTCTCATCACGCATCTTGTGGCCACGGAGTAGACGTCGGAGGCGTGCTTCATCTCCTTCGTCATAGGCGGACATAACGCGCCGCTTGAGGCTTTCGTACTTATTTTGAGCGGGCGGATTTATGACGAGATCGGACACGCTTCGCCGGATAATTGTGTGGCAACGTACCTGTACTTTGTGGTATCAGACGTTATATTGTAGTTAGCAAAAACAAGATCTATCTGGGCGAACCATAGCCGTGGATCGGCTTGAAAAAATGGCGGCAGTTCGATATGGCGGGAAGATACCGCTAAAACTCCGCCGTTGAGTTTGCGTCCTTGGGGTGTCTGGTTGCCAACGGGTTAATTCTGTGTTGTGCCAGCGCTCGGGGCGTCTGTTCCTTGTGTAGGCGATCCGTCTACAGGCATCCTTTATTACGCGGGATCACGTCGGAGTCACCAATGTAGCGCTCGTGCACGTGTATATATATATATATATATATATATATTTAGCGGGAAAGAGATTCCTACTCATGCGTCTTGGATGCAGGTAGATATATAATAACTATTTGGAAACCACTGCTGAGGCGTCCCGGATCGATAAATATGTGATGAGTATATTTTTTATATGTATAAAAAATACTTTATTTTTTCTTTGGTAACAGACAGTATCACAGTATTAAAGGCAGACAAAAGAGAGTGTGTTCGGTGAGGAAAACTTAGCTTACTTAATATCTAGATAGGAATCATCTTTGGCTAGTGCGCATGTGAGGAAGAACTTAGTCGGCTCTCCAATTTTTAATCATCGTATTTATCTCGACTAAAGAGCCAAACGCGATGTTATTGCGTCAGATTAAGATAAGAAAATTTGGAAACTAAGGAATTTGAATCCTATGGTTGGGATCTCAGAAATTCCCCTTGTTCTTTCTCCTAACATCCCCTGTAAAGAATTAGACGAGAAAAATATTGGTCCGAAAGTCGGCTGAATCGGGAATCGAACCCGAGACCTTCCGCTTGCCGGGCGACTGCTCTTCCAGCTGAGCTATTCAGACACTTGCAAATCAATATTTCTCTCAGTGTTTATAACCCCCCTCCCCCCACCAAGGCGTCGTAATTCGTCCAAACGCGATAAACAATAATAAGAATATTTTTAAGTCGGCTCTCCAATTTTTAATCATCGTATTTATCTCGACTAAAGAGCCAAACGCGATGTTATTGCGTCAGATTAAGATAAGAAAATTTGGAAACTAATAAATAATTAATTATGTTTTTAAGTATTCAAATTTATTAATTTTATATAGAGTTATTTTGATTTCTTTATTCAACTGATAACATCAGTTAAGTTTTAATTTTAATAAGAACTTTAATAGTTTAAAAAGTTACTTTTGTTTTAACATAGAAATTAAGTTTTATTTTAAAATAGTGTTGACTGATCGAGACGAAAAAACTAGTCTTGTTTTACGCATCCAATATTTTTTTGGATTTATTTTGTATACGCAACTATCTATTCGTAGAGTAAATAACTTGTAACTTCTACATATACATCACTTTATGAATTACAATACTTTTAATAAAACTGTATATATTTATATAATATATTACTTTTATACTAATTCAAAAATTTCCTTTTTTTTGTCATCCAGCTGCGTCTTTCCAGTTATAAAATATCACAGTAGTTTTATAACATATACCTTACTATCTCTCAAATACATCAACTTTTTCCGCTTCTGGAATGTCAAACAAATTGTAAAAATTTAACGTGTCTTTCTCTTCTAATTGGAATTCTTTTTTATTTTGTATTTTCTGCAGCACATTCAATTTTTTCTTTCACTTCTACTTTTTTTGATGTTATCAGACTTTGTGGAAAATTGAAAGCAATAACAGTTACAGATAATAACATTATTATGTTGTATGGATTAAAATGTATTATTTAAAAAAATGTTAAATCAAATAAATTTAATAAATAAATTTTTTTCTCGCCTATTTTTCTCCATATATAAGTTTGAGATTAATTTATTATATATATGGAACTTAGTAATCTTAAACCAAGAGATACAGTTCCGAAAAATTAATTTTCGCGCTTGGGCTCTATTGGCCGATTTAAAATTCATATATTATTATTATTCTTAATATTGAGAGCCGACATATATTTCTTGTCTGATTTTATTTACGCCTGGGCTTAATCATGGCGTTATTTACTAACATCTACTAAAAGGCAAATGAAAAATATTGGATCGAAAAGGTCTAAATAGCTTAGTTGGTAAGAGCAATCGCCCGAAAAGTGAAAGACGTGGGTTTGATTCCCGCTTCAGCGACTTTTCGGACCTATATTTTTCTCGCCTATTTTTCTATATGTAAGTTCGAGGTTAATTAATATATGGAATTTAGTAATCTCAAACCAAGAGATACAGTTACGAAAAATTAATTTTCGCGCTTGGGCTTTATTGACCAATTTAAATATTATTATATTATTATTAATAATATTGAGAGCCGATAAAAATATTTTCTTATTAAATTTATTGAAATTTAAAGTTTCAAATTTTAATTAGATAAAAAATAATACATACTTTATAATTAATGTAATAATCTTTTTATACTAATTCCGACACCTCTTTCTCTTCTCTCTTTCTGATGAACAACACACAATTCTTTACATTATCACTTCACAAGATGAAATGGCCGCTTTTCAAATGATAGACGTTTATATACTAGCTACGTTTGGTGTTTCTATATCACAACATTATAAAAATTGTATTGTGGAAACATAATATTAATACACACGCACGCATTTCAGTATATGTGATCGTACTGGTTTTCGACTTCTAATAATCCAGAACTCATTTTTATGAAGGAGAGTGTGATATGGTACGTAAGTGTGCGTCAGAAATGATGAGTTTGGTCAATACGGAATCCTTTGGGATGATCAGAGGATGTTTTGCACTTGATGGTAATAGAGAAGATTGGAGCCGGCCTCCAATTCGCAATAGTTCAGTAGTATCCATGAACAGAGTAAGTCATAGAAGCGGATTAAACCAGGACAATGGTTGTCCTTTGAAAAAGATCTTGATTTCTTGTCGGAAATGATATTGCTGGATTGTCCTAATCCAGCAGAATTTTGTAGCTTCCAGTTCTTATAGAGTGACTTTTGATTTCCGCGGAATCGATTGATTACCCGTCGACATGTCGCAGTGATCCGTAGTAATCGGTTTAAGTATTAGAGTATCTGTCAAGAAGGTTCCATGGTTCCATAGATTATCGTTGGTGACGGTGGAGACTTAAACTTGTCATTCTATGAGGTTGTTATTAGAAGACATCATTTGCGGCTTCTTTGGCCACATAGATGGTTGTCGGTACAGCCATTGAGGTCTAGTCTACCATACGGAAAGTTCAGATAGTTGAGTGGGCGTTACTCCTCTGGTAGTTAAACCGCCGGGTTTCCTTGACCCGGAACAAATCGCCAGATTTGTTGTAGTATTGTTTCTTGGATATGACACACCCGATTATGGACGAAGTCCTTCCACCGAGAAAGTTGGTTATTTATCTAGATATGAGTAATAGACGAGTGTGTTTATAAATATACAGGAACACTTTCAAGTTTAAAATTTGTATGACATGAGAAGCCAATTTTGTCAATAATATGGCTCTTGCAAGTTCCAGATTGTAACGATGCACCTTTCCCGACGCCGCGGATCGGCTTGCCGGTTCCAGGATTCGGGAGAAGAGGGAGACTCAGACTTGCTTATTCCTTTACAAAAATGCTTTATTTATTGAAAATAAAAAGTAGAGTGTCCGCTGAGGACTTATAGGCCACCCTGCGGGTGATACGGATTGAGGCTATATAATGCAAAAGAAAATATATTATATTTTGCCCCGAAGGAACGTACTGCTAGTTACGTTGTATAGTGGAAATCGGATCTAATGCGCCGAAGGCGTATAGTCTAGACGGTGACAAAAGACTTACAGATTACCTGATATATACAATGCGCGGCGGTCGAACTCAATACACAGTGGCGTATATCCTATGACGGTGTCCGGAAGGGACCTACAAGTCACCCGGTATACAAAGACTGGATATATAATGTACGGAGGCGTATAGCCTATAACGGTGTCCGGAAGGGACTTACAAATTGCCTAATATGCCCGATGCAGGGGGGACGAGGTATTCCGGAAACCAGGGAGTTCGGCCTAACGACGGGAAGCCCGTCGCCCGGTTTGTAGCAGGAAGAGACCGGAAACCGGGAAACCCGGCCTAACAACGGGAAACCCGTTGCCCGATGCAAACGGATGGAACTAGAAACCGAAAAGCCCGGCCTAACAGCGAGAAGCCCGCTGCCTGGTATAGGAATTTGGAACGGGACTGGTGCCAACTCATCTGCCGAGCCAGCTTATATACCCGGTCGGCGGCCTCCTGCCATGCGTCGGGTGCATAGCGGGGGTAACGCAACGGCGCAGTAGTGGGGCGCCCCCGGAGTGAGGCTGCTCGTGTACGGCGTTTAGGGGGCGTTTTAGGCGCTAGAGACTCATGTGGCGGGCGGATGTTTGGCCCGCGAGGCGATAGTAACGGCGATACCGCGTTACAAGACGTGGGATAGTAAGTCTTTTTAATAGAGCCACTTTGGTTTTTGAGCAAATTAAATTTACTTGTATATCACCTTCTGTTGAAATAGATCTTAAGTAAATAGCGGCAGACATTGCTTGCTGCGATGCATCACAGAATCCGTGAATTTCAATGTGATGATTCGATTTATAGCCTAGCCAGCGAGGAAAAGTTAAGCTCGGCATCTCTTGCAGTTGATCAACGAAGGATGTCCATTTGTTAGAAATAAATGGAGGCAGAGGATCATCCCAGTCGAGTTTCATTGACCACAGTTCTTGAATGAGGATCTTTGCTTTCGAGAACAGGGGAGAGCAACCCGAGAGGATCAAATAACTTCGCAATGGTAGATAGAATGGCTCGTTTTGTTATTACTTTCGCAGGTGACAACTGCAGTGTAAATTGGAAAGTGTCAGTTGATGGTTTCCAACATAATTTGAGGA